TCAAGGCCGGCGGCTGCCTGGGCGTCCGAGGCTCTGCCTGGAGACGCCGCTGGGCTGCGGGCTGGCCTGCGGTGGCTTCCCGGGGAGGGCCCAGCCCTGCGGCCTCCCTGGGGCCCCTCGCAGGCACACCTAACCTGGCGGAGTGTCCTGTGGCTGCTGTGACAAATGGCCACACACTTAGTGGCTGCAGACAACACGGGGCTTCTGTCTTGCAGCTCTGGAGATGGAAAATCCGAGAGGGCTCTCCCAGGCCAGGGTAAGGGTACCATCAGGGCTGACCGAGGCCTTCTTTGACCCTTCCCCCTCCCGCCCTGTCTTCAGAGCGCGTCACTCCGACCAGTCCCCACCACCTCGCCTCCTCTGGCCCTGCCCCTCCCGCTCCCTCTCATAGGGGTGCTTGTGATCCCAGCGGCCCCACCAGGTCGCCCACCCCCCCAGCACCCTTAATTCAGCACAAAGTCACTTTGACGACGTGTACTGGGTTGAGCGGTGTCTCCCCAGGTTCATGTCCACCCGGAACTGTGACCTTGTCTGTAGCCAGGGTCTTGGCACACGCGATCAAGAGGAGGTCACACTTGGCTGGGGACCTCAGCTAGTGACCGATGCCTGTAGGAAGAGGGGTTTGGACCTAGATGTGCAAGACCACAGAGCCCAGATGCAGCCAGGCGTGCTGCCACCCTGAGCGAAAGGGAAGGGCTGGGCCAGCGTGGCCCTGCCATAGCGGGGCTTCGGCATCCGGACTGTGCCCTCCTGAGCATCCTTCACCACCGCAGCCCCGGGAGCCTAGCACATTGCGGAAGGGGAAGGCTGCAGGAACTGGGACGTGGCTGCACATGGGGCTCCAGCGCAGACTCAGCTGCCAGGAGAAGCCGGCCCCTCCCTGCCGCAAGCTAAGGGTGCTTAGTTCCCAGGAGCTGGGAGAGACCAGGAGGCTCCCCTGGAGCCTCAGAGGAAGCAGGCCCTGCTGATGCCTTGAGCTCAGACTCGGGCCTCCAGAAGGGGAAGGAACCCAGTTCTGTTCTGAGCCCCTGGTTTGGGGTGACTCTCGACGGCAGCCCTGGGAAAGCGGTGCTCCCTCTCGGCCTGCTGTTCCCGCTTGTCCACACGCTGTGGGCAGCTGGGTTTTCCTGGGGTGCTGGGTGCGCTGCTGAGGCTGTGACTGGAGTCGCAGTAGTGAAGGCAGGCGACCAGGGCAGCGGGGACTCCGGTGGTCAGTCCCCACAGCCGGCCGTTGGTGCAGCAGCGCTGTGCAACTGACGTCTTTGTTCCCATCGTACAGAGGAGACCGAGGTGCGGAGGAGTCCAGGTGCTTGGCTGGGGACCCGAGGCCCCCCAGGGCAGCTGGAGGCTCAGAGCGGGTGCCTCCCTCCTTGCTGGGGCTGGAGGGGAGAGGTCCTGCTGTCCCAGGGTCCCAGGCTGGTGTCCGGCCCAGCACACACCCTGGGGCCATGGCCGCCCTCTCCTGGAGAGTGAGCAGCACCCCAAGGGTTTCACCAGCGACAGGTTAAGAATCTTCCAGAAACACCACTCCCTGGGGCCGAGTCCCAGACTGGCCCCCCAGGAAAGCCTCCTGCCTGTCCAGGCAGAAGGACGACCAGGGCGGCCGCGAGCCAGCGCTGCTTCTCTGACCCTGCTCACACAGCGGCGGAGCCCGAGGGTGGAGAAGCCAGGGGTTCTGGACACAGGCTTGGGCACGTGGGTCGTCCTGACTGAACCATGACGAAGCAACTGAGCAAGGAGTCTCGGAGCATTGCGCAACAGCGCCCTCCTCCCTCTGTGGCTGTGTGTCACACTTCCGTGGTTCCCCGGAGGAGGGAGGGTGCAAAGGAGGAAGCAGGAAGGGTAGCAAGGGGGACCCCGTGCCGGCAGCAGGCTGAGCCTGGGGAGCGAGTGGGGCCGGAACAGCTCCCTCTCCGACGGGAGTCTGCCCTGGTGCCGCCGTCTTCAATGTGATTATGTTCCCATTGCACCTCGTGGTCGGGGGTGGCTGTGCCCTGGCAATCGTGCCCTTTCTCCAGGCAGGAAGGAGGAAGGGGACACCTCATCCTCCCTTTAAGACATCTGGACGACATACCCAGCTCTTCCCCTCACTTCTCTGTGGGCAGAAGTTGGGGCAGGCTGGAGAGGATCATCTTCAAGCCAAGTGATATTTGCTTGTCTAGAGATGAGGAATCTTCCCGCCTTCCGGAAGAAGACAGGAGACTGAGCAGCAGCGAGCAGTGAGCAGTGGCTGTCTGTGTGCCGCGGGCCTGGCTAGGAAGGCAGGCCGGTGTCCTCCGCCTGGGGTGTCGTGGATTGGAGGCCCTCGGGCACTTTTTATCAACTTGTCTTGGCTGAGGAGGAAGGATTCATGAGTGTTCCAGAGTAACTGTTTATATTGCAAAACCATAAAAGCATTTCCATCCTGAGTCCCGAGGCAAAAGTCTCCCTAACTGTTCCAGCACTTTCTGATCAAGAATTCAATAGGATACTCCCCTTCTGACCAGCTAGGCCCCACCCCACCAGTCCCTCTCTAGTTCAGAGTTCACAGTGGGAGCTCAGGAGCCACAGAGGTTCAGAGGGGGAGGGAGGGAGGGAGGGAGGGAGGGAAGGAGAGGGGGGAGACAGGGGGAGACAGAGGGGAAGAGAGGGACAGAGGGAAGGAGAGGAGGGTGGGAGAGGCTCAGCGAACACTCAGCCCGCAGAGGCTGAGACAAATGTGCACATTTCCTCAATAGCCCAGCAACTCCTGGACCCCTCTTCCCAAACTTTGGGGGCCTTGTTTTATTTCAGGTTCCCAGAAATAGACCCTAAGCTGGGGGTTCGAGGCAGGGAGTTTATTCGAGAGGTTCAAGAAATACAGGAAGCAGATGGTCTGTGAAACAGGAGGGAAGAAAGCGGATTATGAAGCCCGTGACCCAGCCCCTCTGAGAGTTGCTCGCCGGTGTACGCAATGTGTACAAGTGTGTACAAATGCAGAGCTGCCCTCGCGGGCCTCCTTTCCAGCCCTGAGAGCCATGGACGACCCCCACGATGGCCCTGTTGGACACAGGAGTCGCCGCCTCTGCCTTTCTGGTTCCTGTCCTCGGCCATACGCCCCCCAACATGGTGCCCCATGACTCTGGACTAAAGCGGTTAGTGGCCAGGGATGCCAAGTGGAGGCCTGGGGCCATCCTGCAGCTGCTGATGTGGCAGGATGCCAGCACAGGAGCCTCCAGTACACGTGTCTGGGGAATAAGACATTGGTGTGAGGACCAGCACCATCGCCCACAGAAGCCACGCGAGAGAGCGAGGGTCAGGAAGACCCGGCCTTGTAGGGAGCAATTACACCTGACCGCCGTGGGCTAAGGCGTGACCCTTCCCTGAGCTCACGGTCCAAGAGAGACTGGATGGAGGGCAGGGAGACTGGCCCCTTCCAGAGTGTCCCCACCAGGCCCGTATGTCCCTTTCTCCAGGCTTGGCTCCGTCTGACCAGAGGGAGTTTCCCTGGTCTCAAACTCCCCGTGTCCTAACCCCTGCCTGTAAAGCGGCAGGGTCCTGTGCTGGGACTCCAGGGTATCTGTCAGTGGCCACCCCCTTCCCAGGGGACATTTAGGGGGCTCTTGCTCCTTTCCCAGCCTGGACTTCCCGAGTCCATGCTGCCTGTGACACATCATTTTATTCCAGTTGAAATGTTAGTTTTTGAAAATTAGATTTGGAGGTTGCAAAGGATGGACAAGATCAAAGCCAAACTGGTGGTTTGCTGGCTGTGAGACAGATGTCGCTGCTCTAATTATTCCCGCATGGCAGCCATTTAGTTAAGTGACCCGTCCAGGGCCAGTAGCCTGGAGGGGCCGAGCTAGGGTTTGAACTGAGCCTGACAGATTCTTGCCAGTGATACCCACCAGGAAGCTGAGGGCTCCGTCTGTCTCTTGGGTGACCCAAGAGCCTGGAAAGCAGTTGTAATTCAGAGAAGTGAGGCTGCAGATGCCCACCCTCAGGAGAGACGGTGGCAAGAGGCAGATGTGACCCTGCCCTCTCCTCCTGGCCACGGGAGGCGGGGCAAGCACTTCTCCAGGCCTCAGTAGCACCGTCTGTGAAACGGGACCGTTTCCAACTCCCGGACTCCTGTAAACGCCACCTGGCCCCGCGTGTTAGCGCCCCCTGCAGTGACATCCCGTCTTCCTTTCTCCGTCTGCACGTTGGGAATGATGTGTGCGCGCAGAGGCATGAGCCCAGTTCCCCTCCCGCCGCAGGGGTTGGGATAAGCTCAGCGGGCGTGGATCCCGCGCCGGTGCCCAGAGCGGCGGCCCGGCTTGCTGCAGTCCGGGGAGGCCGTCTCCCTGTTCCCACTCTCTAGCTCAGCCACTGGGAACTGAGATTTGGTCAATTTGCAAATTCCTGGTGGAAAGTGCTCGGCACCACAGCGGCGCGTAGTAAGCGTTCAACCAACACCATGCCGTGTGGTCACGGTGAGGAAACTGAACGCGCTCAGGCCGGGCGGAGCGTTCCAGCAGCCCCGGCTCCTCGCCCACCCGCCGGGCGCCAGCGCCCGGTGCTCCGGTCCCAGGACCAACCCGCATCCCTCTGCCTTTCCGGCGTCCGGAGTCGGCGGTCCGCACCCTCTGCCCGCGCTGCTGCCGCTGCTCGTCGTGGGAGACCCAGGCGACGCGGTGACTGGAGCCCCGAGAGGTAAGCGTGACTTAGGCTCCTCTCCCCTCCGCAGTCCCGAGGAGCAGCAGGAGCAGCAGTGGCCCGGCAGGGGCCACCCTGAGCGCTCACCGCGCAGGCAGGCGAGGGCTCTCCGCCGGCGCCTCGGAACCGCGCTCGCGGTGTGCCCTTTCACAGACGAAGCAACCGAGGCCCAGTGAGGGCCGCTCGTTCGTCCAGCACCTCGCGATTAGGAAGAGGAGCCCGGGTGGGGGGCCTCTGAGCACAGGTCTGCGCCTGCCGTCCTGCGCCCGCAGTGGGTGTGAGGGGACGGGGAGCTGTTGGCACGGCGTGGCAGGCCCGGGAGTGTGTTCTACCCGGTGTGGAGGGCATTCTCCTCTGCGGTGTGGCGGCCGCAGCCCTTGAGGTTTCATCTGGAACTGACCTGCACGGTGTCCCGTTCTGCCCACAGTCAGATGGAGACACGGAGAGTCGGAGAGTCGGGAGGTGAAATGAGTTCTCCAGGCAGCAGGGCCAGGGCTGGAGCCCAGCTCTGTCTCCAAAGGGCCCCCGGGCGTCCCGCCTGGGGTTGTGTCGGAGTTCCTGCAGTTTTAGGGAGCACATTCCTGGGTCTCGTTTGTCTAGTCGGACCTTCTGCCCAACTCCTCGCGTGGAAGAATGGTGCGGGGCTGAGGGCTGCCGCTTACGCTGTGTAGACCCAGAGCCTCCTGGGCCAAGGGCTGGCTGGTGACAAGCCAGGGAGGGCTTAGCAACGTCTGCTCATCGCAGGCTGACTTAAATTGGGTGTCTTTCAGCCCAGAAGGGGAGTTGGTGCCCTGGCTGGGACGCATCTGGGCGCCTGCGAAGCCCAGCTCACCTCGCAGTGCAGTGGGCTTGTGAGTTTCACTCTGGCCTTTGCAACCTGCGCGCTGGCAGAAGGGAGTGACCTGCCTTCCCCATGTCGGAGCTGGGGTCTGACGGTCAAGACCAGGGTCCCGCAGAGCAAGAGCAGGAGCATGCTGCTGGCCCTACAGACGGCAGCTCTCGCACTGTGCCCTGATCTGCTTCTGCCCTGGCTTGGCCGTCTGCACGCAGGAAAGGAGCGGAGGTGCAGGGCTGTCGCTGATGGGAGTGCCAGGTCCCCACACGCTGCACCTGGCTCCCTCCCGGCAGCACGCCCAGGCAGGAGGTCTCTTGGTTGCCATGTCACAGCTGAGGAAACTGAGGCTCAGGAGGGGAAGTGCTTGCTTAAGATCCCCCAGCCGGGGTGTGGTGCCGTCACCCAGACAGCAGCTGGCTGGCTCCAGAGCCTCTGCTCCTGACCGCTGGTCTCTGCTCCCGTTGAGACACTTCTCTGCCTGCTGCTTGTCCCAACGCTGACCCTGACTTCCACGCGGGTATTTTGTCTGAGAGCTAAAGCAGCTGGAGGGCACACCCGGGGGGAGAAACGAAGAGGGTGGTTTTGATTTTTACAGTCCCTTAAGATGAGAGCAGGAACAGCGATGACGTCTGTGCCAACGCTAGCGGCCGGCACCACGTACTCATGGCAGGCCAGGTGTCCCAGGGTGCTCACGGGTGACCGGGCTGCTCTGTGAGGCGGGCGCTTCTCCACAAGGAGCAAAGGCAGGCTCACGGTGACTAAGGATGTTCCCGTGAGACACAGCCAGGCCTGGGAAGAGCTGTCGCCCTGGCCCGGGGCCTCCGGGGTCTGAAGGAAGGGGCTCACCCAGGACTGGCATGGCGAGGCTTGTGGGGGGTCGAGGTTTCTCGTGCCCTGGGCACTGTTTGACCTGGTGAGGGCCGGGGCTGGAAAGGGACGTGCTGACAGGTACTCAGTGTCCCTGCATGGTCCCTGCCCGTGGGCGCAGGTCCGTGCTGCCTCCCGGGGTCCTGCCTCCGACCGCAGAGACCTGACTTGATGGCGGGGGGCTGGAGTTGGGGCAGGAGAGCTGAGACCTCATAGGGACCCCCACACTCAAACCCTCAGAGACCTTAAGTTAGTATCTGGCCTTTTGTAGGCTGCCTTTGGAAGTTTGGAGGCAGACTCCCCACACTGCCCCCTTGGGCCCTGGGCAGCTGGGCTCTTCTCGGTCAGCCGTGCACCTCACTGTATGCGGGAGGGGGCGCCGAGTCTGCCCGCTCCTGACTCAGGAGGCTTTTTTGTTGAAAAACTTTTTTTTTTTGTAAACTCACTGGTTTTTGATCAATCCCAGATGTGCAAACCCCCATCATTCAAAGAGGTCGATGGCTTGTCAAGAAAGGAAAATGTGACATAGGCATAACTGTATTTCACTTCATCTTCAGTTCACTGAGCTGAGTAGATGCGCGGCCCTTCCCAGGATGCGGACCCAGGGACCCCGTGAAGTCCTAGAGGGAACAATGCTCAGTCCCAGAGCAGGTGGGGTTGGGCAGACCAGGTGAGGGCTGGCAGGGCCAGTCATGTTCTTTTCTTCCTTTTTCTTTGTGTTTCCATGAAAAATAGTTTATGGCAGTAAAATGCACGCGAGCATGAAAGGTGCCACCTGAGCCGGTCGGCAGTGCGTGGTCCCATGCGCCCATGCATCGTGGTGCTGCACAGCCATTAGCGCCGTCCCCTTCTGGAACGTTCTCATCGTCCCAGCGGAAAGCCCATACCTGTGAGCAGTCACCGCCCATTCCCCTTCCTCCCACCACCTGGCACCCACTGCTCTGCCTTCTGTCTCTATGGGTCTGTTTATTTAGACGTTTCACTTCATAGCAGTGGAATTATACAGCACGTGGCTTTTCGTGTCTGGCTTTTCTCACTCAGCCCGATGTTCGTTTCCAAGGCGTCGGTGACTCAGGTTTTTGTTCCTTTTCGTGGCTGACTAATACTCCATCGAGAGGATGGACCACTCCGTGTGTCTCCTTTCAGCCTGCTTCCACCGTGGGCCCCTGTGGATCGTCTGCTGGGAGCACCCTGTGCACAGTCTCGTGTGGGTGTGTGCTCTCCTCAGGTACACGCCTCTGTGGGACTGCAGTCACACGGTCACTTGTGTTTCGCTCACGGACGACTCTGTGGCCTCTTTTCTCGACTTCCTTCTTGAGGAGGCATCGTCCCAGGGTGCCTCGTCTGGACTGTGCGGGGTCGTTGGCCACAGGTGCTGGGCGCGTCGTTGGTGTCGCCGTCCACCCTGGGTCACAGACACAGCAGTCGAGCATCCTCAGATGTTGCCTGGGGCCGCTGTGCCCTGTGCCGCACGCCGCACACTTGTGGGGACTCTGGGTGGACACCCCCTCTCGAGGCTGGGAGGACAGCACGGTCGGCCCGAGGCAGACTTCTCTGGTGATCCGAGTTCTGTGTTGACTTCCACGAAAACCACAGACTCCGAGAGAAAAAACCCTAACGAGGATTACGCAACTTCTGGACCATCATTTAAAAAATACTATAAATTACGAAATCCCACATTTTCGATCCCAGTTTCTGGAACGTGTCCCATTTCGAGTACAGAGTAGCAATATTCCAGGGGAGGGAAGAACTATGTTTCCATTTTGCCCCTGCCCTGCCCCCAGTTCTGGCTGGAACAGCCCTGGCACTCTTGAGGGCTGGGAGCTGGCATCTAGCTTGTACTTTCTGAGACTGACCTGAGCAGAGCAGCAGCAGGCCTCACTGCCAGGGAAGCGGAGGGAGGGTGGCGGGAGCGGCGAGGGCGGCTGGGGACGGGCCATGTGCACCAACGGTGTGGCGGGGGAGGACCCGCGGCGCTGGAGAGTGGCGTGAGTCAGGCGTGGCAGGATCTAGGGGCCAGGCTCAGAGTGGCGAGGGTGGCTGGGGACGGGCCGTGTGCAACGGTGTGGCGGGGGAGGACCCGCGGTGCTGGAGAGTGGCATGAGTCAGGCGTGGCAGGATCTAGGGGCCAGGCTGGGGGTGGCGAGGGTCTGACCTGCAGGTGTGGTGGACTGGACCACTAACGGGTGCCACTAGTGGGAGGCTCACACAGGAGGTGACACAGTGGCATCTGCAGGTGC